TGGTTGATACTGAATGGGTGGAAAAAAGGGGATGAAGAAGGAGAGTGGACGTATGAAAAAGCGGGAGGGAAATCAGTGATAGATTATGGAATTGTAAATCTGGAGGCAGAAGAGAAAATTAGATGTTTTGAAATAGGATGCAGGGCAGAATCAGATCACCAGCCAATATTGATAGAGTTAGGAAAGGAATATACAAGGCAGGAGAAGGAAAAAGAGAGCGAGGCAGAGATGATACAGGATTGGTTAGAGGAGGGCATAGAAATATTTAGGAAAAATATAGAGGAAGTAGAGTGGGAAAAAGGAGAGGGGGGAGGACGATGGGAAGAAATGGAAGAAGTAATGAAAAGAGCACCTAAAATGAAGAGGAAGGGTGGAAGGAAAGAGGTAGGATGGGTACCATGGTGGGATAGAGAGTGTAGGGAGAAAAAGAGAGAGGTTAATAGGGCGGGGAGAAGATATAGGAGAAGGAAGTCGGGATATGAGGAATTTGTGAAAAAAAGAAGGGAATATAGGGATACATGTGAAAAGAAAGAAGTAGAGCATAAGAAGCTTGAGGAGAGAGAGATAGAAAAGATTATAACAGAAGCACAGGCATGGGAATTTATAAATAGGAGAAGGAAGAAAAAGGAGGGAATAAGTAAGGAAATTAAAAGAACGGAGTGGGTAGAGTATTTTAAGACGGCATTAGAGGGAGTTGACGAGAGAACGGCAGAAATAGGAGAAAGACGGAATGAATTTAGAAAAGACGAAGGGATAAGTCGGGAGGAAATAAGACTAGAAATAAAAAGATTAAAGAAGGGTAAGGCGGCAGGGATAGATGGGATAAGAAATGAAGCATGGATGATGGGGGGAGATAAAGTAAGTGTAAAGTTAGAGGAAATTTATAGAAAGATTTGGGAGGGAGAGGGATTCCCAGAAAAATGGAGAATAGGAGTGGTAGTTCCGATATGGAAAAAAGGGGATAAAAATGTGGTAGGGAATTACAGGGGTGTCACGCTTACAAGCACTGCGTATAAGATATATGCGAACATTTTAAATAAAAAGTTGGTGAAAGAGCTAGACGAGAAAGGAGGATGGGGCAGAACGCAGGCAGGATTTAGAAAAGGAAGAGGAACAATAGAAAACATAAAGATCTTAAAACACCTAGTAGGAAGAAGACTAAAGGAGAAGAAGAAGGTGTGGGCATTTTTTATGGACCTAAAAGGAGCGTTCGATAAAATAGATAGGAAGGTATTATGGGAAATGATGAGGAGAAGGGGAATCAGTGATGTACTGATAGAAAGAGTAAAAGAAATATATGAGGAGACAAGATGCGTGGTAAGGATAGGGGGGGAAGTCTCAAAGGAATTTTGGGTAAAAAAGGGGGTAAGACAGGGGTGTCCTTTGAGTCCAACTCTGTTTAATGTATATATCGCGGATTTAGAGGAGGAATTAAGAAAAGGAATAGGAGGAGTAAGAGTGGGAGGCGATAAGGTGTGGTCGCTAGAATATGCTGACGACATTGTGGTGGTGGCGGAAGAAGAAGTAGGCTTAAGGGCGATGATAAGAGGGATACAAAGGTATTTAAAAGAGAAGAAACTAGAGCTGAGCCCGGAAAAGTCGAAAGTTATGGTGTTTAGAAAGAAAGGGGGAAGGGAGAAAGAAAGGTACTGGTGGTGGGGAAAGGAAAGATTAGAGGAGGTAAAGGAATATAAATATCTAGGATATTGGGTGTCAAGATACGGAGGGGAAACGGAACACGTGAGAGATAGAATTAGAAAAGCGAGGGTGGCCATGGGATGGGTGTGGAGTTACGGGGAGAGAAAGTTCAAGGGGGACGTAAGGTGGAGACTGAAGCTTTTTGACAGTATTGTGAAAGGAATACTTTTGTATGGAGTGGAGATACGGGGTTATAAGGAATGGAAAGAAATAGAGGCTTTACAAGAAAAATATTTGAGATGGATACTAGGGGTGAAGAGCTGTACTCCTGGATATATAGTTAGGGAGGAATTGAAAAGGAACAAAATGAGGGTGGAAACGGGGTGGAGAGCGGGAAGGTTTGAAGAGAGAATACAGAAAGGAGAAGGAGGAGAGATAGGGAGAGAAAGTATAGTAGAACGGAGGAAAGAGGAAAGAGAAAAACGAAAGGAAGAATGGACAAGGGAAAGCCTAGAGAGAAGGGAGTACTTATGGAGAGGGGGGGTAAGCGAGGAAGCGCTTAATGAATGGGGAGAGGGAAAATGGGAGCGATTACGAGAAAGAGATATAGAAGTAGATATGCAGCAGAGAGGAGAAGAGGTGAGAACTTCAAGGTCGTGTAAAAATTACAGAAATGTAATAGGAATACCGGAATACATCAGAAAGAGTAAAAAGAGAGAGGGAAAGAAGATGCAGATGATTGCGAGATGGAGATGTGGTAACGAAGAAAGAGGAAATATGTTTTGGATGAATGAAGAAGAGAGAAAATGTAGAGTATGCGAAAAAGAGAGAGAGGATATAAAACACATGAAAGAAGAATGTGTGTTACTTAAAAAGGAAAGATGGAATAGAATAGAGGTGTTGCACGAAGATGGAAGAGGGTATGAATGGATGCAAATGATAGAGGCAGCGCGGAAGAAGAGAGAGGAAGAGAGAGAGAGAGAGAGAGAGAGAGAGAGAGAGTGAGTGAGTGAGACCGACATGAGTGAGTGAGAGACATAAAATGTAAATGAGTATGAATGTGAGTATGAATTTGTAGATTAGTAAGCAAGTAAGAAAGAAATGTAGATGTGTATTTTTAAGATGTATTGTATATAAGGGAAGTCCGTGTAATCACGTTGGTGAGCGCGTAATAAACTACTACTACTACTACTAATGGAAAATGTGATTATTGATGCTGGGCAAGACAAAACGACATCTTTGTCGCTCTCAAAACAAAATATAACTGATTAACTGAAAATTTGTGGTCAAATTTTATACAAACTACAACTGGTTGAAAAAGTGGACATTTCCAAATTTTCTGAAAGAGCAGAGATTATTGAAAAGAAAATTGTGGAATTTGTAGTAGAAATGGTTCATAATTTATATAATACATTTCAAATAAATTAATATCGAATAGGCAATTACTACTTTAAGTAATAATTCATTAATTATCAGTATAATAAAGTGATGATGAAATATTAGAGTTAATCGTGTTAATATCTTCTTGTGTTATGCATTCTTCCGCTAAAAGTAATCTTCATCTTCTTCGAAATGAAAATCACAAATCATTTCGATCTGATCAGATAGACTATCATGGTCAAATTCTGCCAAGGATCATTGTAAGTAGTACTGTAAATCATAAAAGTATAAAAACATAAAAGTAGTATTGTATATATTTGCTCTTTTTACTGAGGATATAAAGTTTTCATTGAGTTTTCATTAAAAAAATCATCAGAGCTTGTAATGCTGCTTATAAAATTTTATTGGAATACTTTAGTTCGAAGAATCGCTGCGCGCGTAATTGAGTCGAATGCTTATTGAAGTTAGCATCATTTCGACCAGAGCGCGATCTACTTGCTGAGTTCAGAATTATCATCCGAGATTAAGAATTCAGATTCATTCATTCAGATGTAATTTTATCCTTAATATTCAGTTAAATAAAATAAAATTTATAGATATTGATATTTTCCTATATAGTACGTTTTTCAAATTATTACAATAATTATTTATAAAAAATTGATTTCTTCGAAACTATGGACCAATGGCTAAAACCGTCGGACACATATCGTTTTTTTTTGCTCAAGAACTGCCTGTAAAAAGCATCAAAATCCTCGATCCATCATCTGGTGTTTTCCTTGTTAGTTTACTGAGTACTAATATTCTATTAAAAAATATTCTATTAAAGAAGATAGAATAAAAATTTCGAAATGATCAAAGTTTTATTTTTCTTGAAAATAATATTATTTATTTAACGGATACTGTTATACATGAGAAAAGAATCTTCTATCCATATTTTCAAACTGCTATATCTCGGAAATAAAAAGATTATATCATCGAAATGAATTGAAATACATTTTAAAGCCGAAAGTTCATACTTTGATGTAACATTAATAAAATTAAACAAAAAACTAGCTATCGGTGCTGCAATGTTTTGAAAATCAACTTAAAATCATTGTTTGTGTTTTTAACTACTATTTTTCTTCTAAAATTGTGACGTGGTAGCCATCTTTTGCTGACATTCAACACACAAAACTACATCAAAAGTGACTCGTATTGCAAAATGAGGTTGCATAGTGTAATTATTGGCTTCAATAATTAGAAGTTATTATAGACTTTACATTTTAGAAAAAAATGAAACGGTATACGATTAAAATATAATAATCGTTTAAACAAGGATTAGATTTAGAGTTTTCATGTCTGGTTTTTACAAATCCATGAAAGTTTCTTTTTTTATACAAAAAGGCATAATTAGATATAATACTTTTTGTATTAGTTACCTAACATCAAAATTTATTTTTCATTCAAGTATATTACAACGTTATAGTCACCCTACTATCACAATTACACATAGTGATCCTAAATCTATGTTTAATAATGAAATAAGACCTAAATATAATTAGGTGGATTCAAAATATTCATATTAAAAAATACTATTTCGTTTATAAAAAATAAAAAGTAGAAGGCAACCAACTTAATAAACAATTTGTCAAAATATTAATTTTTTTTAACTAATATGTCCCTTATTTAGGGATTCAAACATTTTTTTCTTTTTAGTAAAATAATTTTGAATTTATAATTTGTTTTTCATATGAAGTGATCGGATCTCACGAAGTCACGTTTGTTCAACAATGTTATTAACTGGAAGAAAAATTCAAGATCTCTCTCGGTTTATGAAGCTTTATACAAACTACTTTTTCTTTAGATCGCTGTTCACTAAAATATTTATTTTATTGTGCCGTTGAAGATGCACGACTAGGACGCTTTATGCGAAATATCATTATTTGGGAACGTTGCATTTGTACGCGTGTAGGGCGTACTGAAATCTAATTTATGTTATTCAATAAGTAAGGTCATTATTCGTTTGGAAATACCGCTTTACTTTTGCTATAAGTACGCGGTATGTTTACTACTGTGCTCAAGTGCAGCAAGAACATCCTGCTTTTGTCTAATGTACAACCGTCCTTTTTTCCACGGATTTTGCAACTGAAGCGGCTTAAAATCATCCCTTAAACAACGCTCTCGCGCACCGATTACGGCAACTAGACAAAAGTTTGGTAACTCATCGGCCGTGTAAGTAGGTCCCTTTTGTCCCTTTAGAACTACTGCCATATTCAATTGCTTTACAACAAGATCCACGACTTCCCGCGCTGTGGTCCTTGGTGTTACGTGCAGCTTCAAACTGGTACCAGCTGCTAAACCAGTCTCGTAGGCCGCATAAACCTGCAAAGACATTATGATATCTCTTATAAGGGATATATTACACGATAAGAAGAATAACAAAATGCAACAATATAGAATAAGGAATAAGTTTAATTGTAAACGCGTAGATAATTAGAATCCACAAAACTATACGACTGATACTACACGTTATGTCGATGAATAAAATGTTACATAAATGTGTAAGCTTATGTGTAATATATATATGTATCTAAAATATTTCACTTAGTGAATAAAAAAAACATGCTGTGAAAGAACATTCAATGCTTTTTCTTATTTTTATTTATAAAAGAATATTTGAAGCCTTTTAAAATTTATTAAATATCTATTTAAAGTTAATACTTTTTTGTAATTCAGTCTTTAAGTGGAACATAGCACTTACGACGCATTAAAAAAAGCGCTAAAAATGTAAGCGCTTTTTGAACGCTTTGTAGTGCTACTTGTAGATCAAGAGGTCACTATAGTGATTTTGTTATCCATTCCGACAAGAATCGAGAAGTGGGTAATTTTTTTTTCATATAAAACATTAAAAAAAAAATATTTATGGTTGATCGTGGTTCCTATTAAAGGAGAGATGGGCTTTTCAAAATGTTGCAGATTGTGAGCGTTTTTGCTGAAAGCGTCAAGGCTAAATGTTGTTGCAATCGATAATTAAGATTTCTGACTAGTCGCGGTGGTCATGTTGAAATCGTCAGAAGCGAGAAATGACACGTTAATTTATGTTGCATGCCATTTTTAAATAAAGACAATGAATGAAACGAAATGACGAGATTGTTATAAAACATTTGGAAAAATTGATGAAAACTCCTTTCTTCTCTTGATAGTCAATAAATGGTCGTAAAAGGCACGTAAAGTGAGCCTATATTCGAGCAGAAACACACGGTCTGTCATCACAGTTGTTGAAACGAGTAAAATATACGACTTATCAATGTCGTAATTATCGATGAAAACTAAAGTTATCTTGGAATTTTATATGTAAAAGCGAATATTTTATGGCCATTAGAAAAGAAATGCGTCTGTTTGAGACTAATGAACATTTTATACACGTTCAGGAATGGATTTGTTCGTCATTACGAAGACTACATACGAGAATTTCAAAGCTTTGCGTTCGAACCTCAATAAATAGAGAGTGAGTGAAAAAAAAGCCTTTTTTGGTTGTTTAAAAATTTTTTTCTACTTAAAACTTATAGATTTTGATTTTCCACATCTCATTTTGTAGGCATTTCAAATACCTACATTTTTTATACTGAATTTTTTTTCATACAATCAATATCTTTCGCTTTATAAAATAAACGTGCTTTTTGCAACTGTTTGATTTTTTTCGCTATTTTCTTCACAAGTCTTGAGTCTCAAACATACGCATTTCTTTTCTGATGGCCTTTCGAAAATTTTTGTGAAGAGAAATGCTGGTTTATAATTTTTTTCCAGTTCTACCTCTATTACTAAAATTCTACTTCTACTAAACTATTTATGCTCGAGTTTATGAAGGAGGTATATAACACGTATAAAAAATCATAAACAATTAAATATCTTGTAAATTGTTGCGTTTTAACGCAACATAATTTATACTATTCTGGATTAATGGGAGGGTACACTATTACTACAATTTATTAAAACTTATATGTTATTTAAAATGTCTCTCGACCCTTATTGATGCTGAGGGCCGAGCAACCGAGAAAGCATTTTTGATCGCTTGAAACAAACGACTAGTGTGAGAAGGAGGTTGCTGTTTCGTTCACTCGGCGCCTTGAAGGCGAGCACACGTATATGGTCTCATGCTTGAATATGTGGCTATCGGTTTCGCCAGATCGCTACACAGTGGTACCGATCTGAATATGAAAATTGCGATCGAAAATGAAAATTTCAACTTTTTTATTGAAAACTAAATTTCTTGTAAAATAATTCCTATTATTGTGTAAAATTTTAGAAGTAATAGTATTTTTCCCCCTAAAAAAAATAAAGTTATAATTAACAATAAAATTCGAAAAAGATGCTTTATCTTCCTACGGTTAAATTAATGAAATAATCAATACATCATTAAATAAGATATTTTAAACTAATCATATGCAAATTAAATTATTCTTTTAAAGTTAAATCACTTTTAAATTTACTTCTAAATAATTATTTCAATAAAAACAATTAATTTTCTTAATATAGAGGAAAGGCCCATATTATGATATACCGAATTCATTTTGGATAAAAGCTAGAAGTCCATAGGCAGAATTTAAAAAATAACAGGTCATTTTGAAGGAAATTTAATAAGCTTTAAGATAACATTATATAAAATTTAATTCAAATTCCATTTTTTTTAAATTAAAGAAATATAAAAAGTGAGCAAATCGCAAAATCAAAAAAT